CTTCGTGCATGGCAAGAACATGCCAGGATTCCAAGAGCGCCGCCATGTCTTTAGGAAAGTGGGGCTATCTGGTTCTGCTCACAGATTAAAAACTATCCTTGTTTGGCAAATAGTTCACGAGTGACCTTGTGACCTTGCTTGCGATGACCAGTGAAATTCACTGAATGTTAATGGCTCTGCAGAGGCTCTAGAATCATAGCAGGACTGAATACCAAAGCGTTGAGTAGGAATCGAGTGAGCTGAGTGTTTAAAGTTTGGTCCTTGATCTACTGAGGATCTCACAGATGGCTGCTCTTTGGGGCTGTTAATTTTGAGCAAATGTGGCTTTAACAACCTTCCCACTGTTCTCTGTTTACGTTAGGAATTAAGAATTATAATTTTACTGGATTACCATTTCAATTCCTTATCTCCTGGGCTTTCCTAAAGGGACAGGTAAAACTCAGTTTCTAGCCCAGTTTCAAAGCACTGAGCCTCCAGAAGAAGATGAATCATGAAACCCTTTCTACTTAAAACGCTTTCTAAGATAAGACACCCAGGAGAGGATGTTATCCTGTCAAAGTCACTGTCTCTAAGGTCAAAGGCACCGAAGGCTTTGAAATTTGCCCTGTGCCTTCTGCTTATGGTACAGTAGAGGCTTCTCCCAAGACTGTTTCTGTAGGCCAGCTCCACAACACAATAGAGCAGAGGAGCATCTTAAACTGTCCCAAGAGCATATCTTGTCACCTGCATCATCTATTAGAGTGAAGCCTCTCACCTACAGTGCCAACCTGGCCATAAATGCGTGCCGAGTAAACAAACTGATAGCACAGCCTGAGCTCTACATGTAATTAATGAGTCACTATTACATCTGCTTCGAACTGAGAGTCCCGGGAATGGATTAACGTGCGGTAATTCTTTACCTAATCAAAACCTTTGTCAAAGACAAAGACAGTGTAGTATTCTGAGTAAATGATTTCTCTTACTCGGAAGCATGACTAATGGTTCTCATTCATAAAAGGATCCCTATGGAGTCTACCAAGATCATTGAATATATGAATGAAATTTTTAGTGAAAGAGATTCTCAACAATACTTGGAAGGCCCCATCAACCCTCAGTTATTAAGACTGCAGGACAAAAGGAGTCAGCATGTAGTTAGGAAAAGCGTACATCTGATAGACATAGTCCCCTCCATACTGAGGCATCTCCTCAGTTCTGTGGTGATACCTTAACCCTGCAGACTGGGGAGCTTACCATGCCGGGAGATCCTAATTTCCTCCCAGTTTATTCAAATTCTCAAGGCTCTCAATGGCTTCTATTATGTAGAAATGTCTTTCTGAGCATGTCAATGTTAGGGAAGCAAATTATTTTGGAAAATTTCCCTGAAAGAACCTTGGCATAAGGCATGCCAGTAGTTTTCCATCATGAACATCAACTATCATGTGGCTATCAGGGCAGAAATATGTGTCTTTTTCATGCTCTTTCTCAGGAAATTTTTCCCAGGAACTTGGAGACCTATGTTGCCCTTTGTGGAGCCACTGAGTTTTCTAATGTTATGTACTGTATCCCCAGGCAAGACCTTAGCATGACCTGAGAAACAATGCTATATCTCTGATGCTGTAAAAAGGATGCTGTCATTGTTGGTATTTGAAGTTAATGCAAGGCAAGCCCCTTCTTTGCCTTTCTTAGAGGCAGTTCCTGCTAAAAACAGTGACTTCATCTCTTCACTGCAGTCAGATCATTAGATCATTCGTTTCCTGTAAGTGTGACAAAGCCATTGGACCACAGTCACTCATGTGGACTCTACATTGAAGACAGAATCTTTGGTTGTTCTTTTTATGAATAAGATTCTCATTGCTTTTAACTCTCGCTCCTTCCTCCCCGACAGCTCCAAAGCTCAATTATCACCACTCACAGTAATTTAAGTAGCGTTTTAACACAATACCCCAGGCTTCTCTCCCAAAAGTGGCAGTTGTGAAGTAAATCTTCCTGGCTAACAGCTGTCAGCTGTCAATGGGATACAGATAATTAAATTTGAAGACGCTTTATGGTCAGAAAAGACAGATAAAACCCTTGGACCAGAAAAGCCTTTGAGCTGATGTGGTTACTGCCCTCTCTCGCACTGAGTCTAATTCATGACTTTGATTGTTTTCTTATGAAACAGGTAAAGGAGAATTGGGAATTGCATTAGTGTTTTTATTTCCTAGCTAAGACCATGTGCTTGGTTTTATTTTAATGCAGGTTGGGGAACAAAATGCTGGAAGAATCTAAGGAGAGAGGGCAGGTGGGAGGGAAGGAAGGAGACATGGGGAGGTATTTGAGAAATCATCTACACCAGGTTGTATATAAACTGTGAGAGGGAGGGTGAGAAGGTAAGGGGTAGGGGCTGTAAATGCTAAAGATAGAACAGCTAGCAAGAAAACCTCAAGTCAAAGTTTCTAAAAGCTTGAAGATCTTTTGGTTGTGAGGTATCCGTGCAACTGTGTTAGTTCAAGTTTTTCCTATAAATATTAATCTACATTTATATTACTATTACTAAACTTAATGATTGGAACTTTAACATTTTTACTCGTCTTAAATATCTCCATTTATTAATTCTTTTATTTTCCATGGGAGCATTCATTAGAAACTATTGTTGAAATATATGTGTACATTATATACAAACACATATTATATATAATATATAAAACACACACATATATAATATATATAATCAAAGAAATGTAGGCTTTCTTTCAACTTCTCCCAAGCACATCCCAATGGAGCTATAAGAGGAGGTGGAGGGAAGAAAAGAGGAAGTTGTATAATTATATTTGAATAAGATGTAAAATAAGAAGAAGAAGGTAGCTAAGTAAGCCATGGAGCATCAGCCAGGGGCAGCTCTTCTCCATGGTCTCTGCTCCTGCATTGGCTTCTCTTGATGATGAATACAAAAATGTAAGATGAAATCATGCATTTTCCACATACACACTTTCGCGTGCACGCACTATAAAAACTAAACTCTTATTCATTTACTGATAAAGCAAACTGGAGACACAGGATGCTTAGTTTGTTTATTTTTAAATACAAATGTGCTGCTTTGCTATCATTCTGTTCTATTGGCTAAAACTATTCAACTATATTATAGCAGACATTCCACAGTGGTGAACTGAACCAACTAAGTAAATCTGTGTGTGCCTTGTGTTCACATTGTGTCTGGCTCACAGATGGGATTCTTGACTTCCTCTAAGAATCTTTGGAGTTTTTATTTTGCTGAAAGTAAACTGTGGTCATTAACAATTGTTGTCGAAACACGACTTGGGTTCTATGTCTCTAAATTTAGAATCAGTATGTCATGAAATCAGAAACCTTAGAAAACATCCACTTTCAGAGCTTGTCACTGTTTAAAGTCATGGTCCCATGATCAATAGAACTTATGAACGTCTGTATAGAAGTTATAAGTGTTGTAGAGATTTTTACCTGCAGAGAAAACTGCTTACATTGTGTGTGTTGACTTTGCTTATTGTCCTGTGTCTTCCTGGTTCTAAAAGTTCAGTTTGCAGGCAGATACTCAACTTAATGAGCTTGAGTCACTGATCACTGAGAGGTTACAATGCTGGGGATTTACATATCTGAACTCATGCTTTCCCTTTGACAAATGCATCGGCATGCTGTCATTCAAATGGTGTTGCCTCCTAAAGGAGAAATAGGACAATAATTGTTTTCAAGTGACTTAGCAGAGCATAATAACGTAGTGGAAATTACAAAAAAAAAAGTATCAGTTATTTAGAGTTATTTGGAGATGATCCTAAAACGGTGAATGTACTGACCCAGAGAATGAAACATTGATAAGAAGTAAGACACTTCCATGCCATTGATTTCTCTCGCACTTACTGTACTGGCTGATGACTTTCACTGAGAAATCTGAGATTCCTGCAAATGCAAATAATTTTTTAAGTCATATAGAGTCAGCACGAACAATACCTTGCTGTTTTAATTCATCAGAGAGCAATAAATAACTATATATGTTAGCAAACATTTTTAAATTAATTAAGTCTTTAAATCTAATTTTCTAAGAACTTCATATATGAATATTTCATCTACATAACTTCTTTTCCTCCCTCCTCTTTCTCCAACTTTTTTCATGCCCTCCCCTTTCAAACTCACAGTCTCATTGTTTTTAATTGTTATTTATAATATAAATATATATACACAAATATATATACAAACACTTGCAGACATATGCATACGCATTCATGCATACACCCGTATACCTAACTTATTGAGTCAATTTAACATTGTCTGTATGTATATGTCCATCGATGACTACTTTGCATTGGACAACCTATATTGGAGCTTGTCTGTAGAGGAGATTGATTTTGCCTTTCCTGTCAGCCATTGAGCACTAATAGCTCTTCATCTGGCAGCAGGATGTTGTGTAGATTCCTCGGGTCATATTGGTCAATCCGTTTTGCCATTATGCCATTCCTTCTCAGGCAACTATATTGTTGAGAGCTCATTGGTGTATTTTCCCTCTCTAGCCGCAGGTATCCTGAGCTACTGGGTATAAGAATCGTTCCTCTTCCTCTTCTGTAATGTTTTCTGTGCCGTAGGTGTAGAAGTTGCACTGCTGATGTATTAATTAGGGTTAGGCATCCCATGGACAATTATTATCCACATTTTGACCAGTTGCGCATCACTGTAGCAGTCTCTATCTGCTGTTAAAAGCTTATTTGAAAAGAAGAGAGAACTACATTAAGGACTTGCAATACAGTTAGAAATGGCATTAATTTAGGGAAAGGGCATTAATAGCTTCTCCTCTAGTAGGTGGCAAAGCTTACGGTACCAGGTATGAGTTCCCTTTTAGTTAGTCTGACATATAAGCTGTTGGTTATACTAAAGGTACAAAGTAGCACTGTGGAAACACCTCTATCAAAGAAGAAAGATTTGTAAGTTATTTTTGCTTTTTTGTTAAACATTTCAGCAAAATCGTGAAATTATAGAACCAACCCACTCTGTTCAACATTTCTTATTCACTATTTCAGAGCTTCGAGAAACCAAGACCTCTGAATATTTCAGCCTGTCCCACCACCAGTTAGACTACAGGATATTACTGATGGATGAAGATCAAGACCGGATATATGTGGGGAGCAAAGACCACATCCTGTCCTTGAATATCAACAATATCAGTCAAGAACCTTTGAGTGTAAGTTTGTCATTTGCATGAGAGAAGTCTTGACATTATAGGTATTTAAAAGAATTCAAATACATTAAAAAATAACATATATTATATTAGAAAAAGGAAAACTACTAGAAACATGGACACATACATACACACACTGAAGTTACTTTTTACTTCACTGCTGAAAATTATGGTTAGTTCATTAGGTTTCAGAAGTTTTAAAAATTTATTTAAACTCCTCAAATAATTGTAAAAACATTCCTTGTATATCCATCTATTCAAAAGAAAAAGGAGTGAGTGGGGAAGGAGAAGTTTACCAAGAAAGTCCTGGATAGAAAAAGAAGAAGCATGTCTTCTGTATGTAATTTATAGAGGGTGAGGAATACAGCTGCTAGCTATATGGATATTTGAAGAACCATACTTTAGATTTATTATTCTTCTTTTGCAGTAAAAAGGCGAAGTCAAGCATCAATGAAATAAAAAAGCAAAACTGTGTTAATGATATGTTTATCATAAATAGCACACTTTGCATTTATTATATTAAAGGATGACAACTCAAAATGTCTTCTTTTTTTGCCAGATGTGACTCAAAACAACAGCAGTTTAGAATGTCAGAACAGTGCCTCCCAGGGGCTGTGGTTTCATTGCATGTGTTCCACTGTTGAGGCACATGGACCCTCACTTTAGTAAATCTGTCAGTCTGGCTGTGTTGTTTACAAAAGGTAATACTCAGCTAAGATAGACAATAAACATAATTCATAATGATAGGAACAGGGGGCAAAAGTGTGAGTCCGGCAGGCAAAATGTGCGTTGTATTTTGCACATTTATGTTTATAATGATTTTATTTAAATACACAATTACAGATTTTCATGTGTTCCTGAACAGGTTTTGTTAAAGAAAACTGGATGAGCAAAAATTGAATGGTTCAGCAGCATAATAGCCAAATAGTTTGAATTCAGAAGGTGAAAGGGGAATCATGAAAACCAAAAATAGTAACACCCTACAGAAACCACATAGTCCAAAGCACATGAAGAATGTTGGGTTGCTGTGTGCCTGATTGTTATTATACAAACTGTATGTCTTTCCCTGAGCAGGTTTTCTGGCCGGCATCAACAATCAAAGTTGAAGAATGCAAAATGGCTGGCAAAGATCCTACAGTAAGTAGTTGAAGAGCACACACACACACACACACACACACACCACATAAAAACACACACAATACATATATGTACAGTGTCCTACTTACATGCATTGTGTACATACAAATACACCCACTTCTATGCACAGTCACACAACACACACACACAGACGCGTACACACACAAACATACACATTCATACATACACATGCACATTACACACATACACTACCTACATCATAATGCAGTCATTACATATACCACATACACACAAATGTCACCCCACCACAAACACACACACAAACACACACAGAGACACACACACGCACGTCTGTGCCAACTGCTTAGTCTTCAAATGTATATGGCTTGAGAGTAGACTGGGATTGGTGGTGTTGGCGATCCTTGGCTGGACAGATATTAAAAATGTAATGCGACAGGCCTGGAATTCTTGGGCCATCTGTAACTTTAGAATTCCTGACTTGCTAAACTTTCCTGCTTTGCTTTCATTATCTAATGCGGACACTTTTCATGATGGATTTCACCAATAAACCTTTTTCCGAGTGACTCCAACCTGTAAAATTCTCAGCAGGCTGCTGAAAGAAAGATAATGTGAGCGTCTGGAGTAACTCCTAGATACCATGGGAACTATTCCTAGGATTCTTGGTGAAAAAGTAGTCATGAGCCTGCACATTCCAGATAAATAAGCCCACAGTGATGAACAGTACATTTGTTAATTGAAATAATTACCAACCGCAATGAAAACAGACATACACATAGACAAATGTGAAGTGTAACAATTGTTCAAGTTGGAGTCCCTTACACCAGCTTCAGTGGAAAGGGTCAAGCAAAGAATCTATATTGATTTCTATGAATGAGTTTCTGTCATTGATGTCAAATTATTCTAGAATATTCCATAAGAAATGCATGGAGTTGATTTTTTATCAACACAATCCTGCATATATATCATTCACATTTTTCCCTCAAATCATGAAAAATATCATAATGGAACTAAGTATCAAAAATATGCACTGTCATGAATAATTTTGTAAAAGACTTTTGTTCAATCTTTTGCACAGTTATTTATTTGATAAAGAACATTACACACCAGTTGCACATATAGCATAATTCTAGTTACTAAATATATAATTTTTGTAAACACAGACTTAATTTCACTTTCCTTAACCATATCTAGTTGAAAAAAATAACTTGGTTTTAGTGAGCAATAAAATAGATTTAAATTAAGGAATGCAATAGAAATATGGTTATTATATAGAAAATCTAGTCTGTTTATACATAGACATCCAGGTTTGAGAGGATCGTATGAAGTAGTAGCCTCAGCTTTGTGTTCTGAAATGTTTGGCTGACCACACTACAGTAGAAAGAAGAGATTCTGAAAGGGTTAATGTCTCGATGGAGCCTTAAAAGTAAGTGCTCTGGAGAGGCATTGAGACAAGTTAGTAATGAGGGAGACTAATCCATATTGAAATAAATTTTTTAGTATGACTGACTCTCAAAACAGCTTCGCGATATAAACTTTTATAAAGGCTGGAGAAAGTCCTGGCAGCAGCAGAAGCTTTAAGCAGCTCTTTTTAACCTGTGGGTCATCACCCCTTTGGGAGATCACCTAAGACCACTGGAAAACACAGATATTCACATTGAGATTCATAAGAGCAGCAAAATTAGGATTATGAAACAGTAACACAAATAATTTAATGGTTGGGGTCAGCACAACATGAGGAATGTGTTAAAGTGTCACCGCAGTAGGAAGGTTAAGGACCCCTACTCGAGAGGGCAAGATCTCTGTGTATTATTCCACAAGTGTTCTTGGGAACCATGACCAGGAGTGACTCAGCTCTAATGCTACATTTTCAATTTTATATTTCATTCAGTTAACAGAACTTAAAAGAGGAAGAAAAAGCATGAGAACATACAGTTAAAATCTAAAGGAAGTATAGAGGGTGGAAATCCAGGCGAGGGGACAATGTACATTTTGTTAGCCTTTCAGGGAAAAAACAAAAAACAAAAAAACATTGCAGGGTGCTGTGCTGTGGAGAATGAGTTTCCTTAAACTAGTCTTCCAATAACTGGGCATGGGTTGAGCAGTTCTCTTTCCTCCCCTAGTGAAGACATTACCCACTGATGCGTGTCTGATCATGTCTTCCTTTCACCACAATCATAACCCGTGGCCATGTTACTAAGTTTCCTGATGTTTTGTTCAGGAAGGTTTGCATTTCCAATTGACAGCAGTTGCTGTTGGGCAAGTACGTAGACTGTAGATACGTTTGCATACTCCTTTTCCAAAAACTGATCCTTATTCATCTCAAGTGTGTAGCCAAGTCATTTGGTCCCTTTCTCCCCTTGGCGAAACAGAAACCTATTGTTATGTGCTTTGTGATAATTAAAATTTATTTGATAAAATCTTCAGTACAGGCTTAATATTTCCCCACAATTTTATTATGCTGTAATACCAAGCATTGGTATTGTTAATTCTTCCCTATGTCCAATTGCTACACACTTGAGAAGTCATCCATGACAAGATCTGTTTTATGCATTTTTATGATTAAACAGGAGAGGTTTTGCTTTTCCAGATAAAAATGTTGAGTTCTGGGAAATAATAATCTATGAAATTCTTTAAACTACTACTTTATCTGTGTAGGAGAAGAGACTTTGTAATAAATACGTCTTGTACCCTATGTGTGAAGTCCTTACAGAGACCTCCTGTGATTCTGATGTCAAGGAGAAAAGACCAGTGGGAACTCACCAATGAGAAACAGCTATTTGAACGTTCTATAGACAATGGGTTTTATTTTAATTTTAATTGACACCAAGTGTTTGCAAATATCTTCACAATGTTGAAATAGTTGCTACCCAATAACATAGCATTTCACCTTTTAAAAGATAGCAATCGAGTATTTTTTATTAGTAGAGTTTCACACATGTTTTGGCTGTATCCATCCTCCTACAGCTTTCCCCAGTTCACCCTGACTGACATTTTAAAAGCTATGTAAACCGGCTTTTAAAAGTTGTGAACAACTTTTGTGTTAATGAGGTGCAGGCAATATGTATAAGTGGCTTTCCAATACACCAGAATGATTAGACATATATGTAGCAATTATGAGACACCACACTCAAATTTAAAGGAACAAACCAGGTGCTGTTCTGTGTTCCATTCAAATCTTGAAAGCTCTGCAGTTATACAAAGTAGAAACTGAAAGGAGTTGTGATTTAAAGATTATGAAACTGAGCGAGTAAGGAGAATGGGAACCTTGTTCCGAGGGTTGCAGTAGCGAGTGTGATGGCCATCGTCTGGTGGAGGACAACTACCTTAGACCGTGACCTTCACAGCCAAATTGCACGTCCTGCTGGGAGAGAGCAGAAGGGCTACAGAGACACCAGGCAAAAACAGCAGTGGAGCTGGGATATTCCGAAAGCTTGCTTTGATAGGTTTGAGAGAAACCACGCTGGCTATATCATTTAACATTACCCTGTGTTTCCTATCAATTGGAAGATTCACTTAAGTTAAATCCTCTTCTTTTCCCCACATCCTTTTGATTTATGCTGCATCTGAATATTAAGTCTAATTGCTCTGGATTTTTGAATTTCAAACCATCTTCTGAGTCCTTCTGGTCACGATACACTGGCTGTTCTCTAGAAAGCCCTCCCCTACCACTGCTGGACTTGGTGCTCCTTCTGTGTGTGCCCCTGAAACGCCTTCCCACTTACTGCATTGATTCTTAATGATGTCTCTCTGCACTAATTGGAAATGCTGTGTGGCAAATGTCATTATCCACTGTGCCCAGATTTGCATCTAGAAAACTTGATCAAATAAGTTCATCTAAACAAGTTCGGAATAGCAAGGAAGGCAATTAAGCAAGGAATTCTGTTCAAAGAGTTTATTAGGCACTGGCAATGTGACATGGTAGATGCTCTTAGATTAGCAATGCCTAAAGAAAATGTATGTATTTCAGAAAAACACTTTGCTATATTTTTCTTTTAAATATATTTATCATCTCTTAAGTAAAATAGAAAGTGGGAGTAAAAGTCCAGAAAAACAACAAAAAGAAACCAGAATTCATACTACAGAAATTTCATTTTTAAATGAAATCTATATCAAATTATAAATGAACTTAATTTTTAAAGGAGATGATAGTAGCATAGTTTAGTTTGTGAATGTATGCCTAGTATGTAAGCCATCCTTTGTGTCCTACCCCAATATTATGTAAGCCCAGCATGGTGGCACCCACCCTTAATCCCCTGCCCTTGGACCAGAGACCCAGTTGTCAGTAGGAAAGGAGTTAGCTAAAGGGCAGCCAGTGCTATAGGAGACACGTTCCCAAGATAAGGGGCAGGAGAGTCAAATCCAGCAGCATCTTAAACATTATACCAGATAATAAATATTCTACAATAATTATTTTATTGAGGGTAAATTATCATAGTGGAAACACAGCAATATTTCAGTTCAATTAAAGAGGACATAGGCTATTTTATTTTAATCTTTAACCGACAAAAGTTAACTTCAGAAAGTAATGACATAGGTCTATTTAAACATACAATTTGGAGACTGTGGGCATAGTTCTTGAATTGGTTCAGCATAGATGATGGCCTTCTCATTGGACAAGGATGGAAGGGATGCTTTCCATTATCTGACAAGAACCAGGATAAACATATCTGGTGTTGCGGTCTGGCTCTAAAATACCCCTCACAAGCTTGTGTTCCAATGGCTCACTCTTCATTTTGTAGCACTATTTTGAAGGTTATGGCGTTTTTAGAGGGCGCCCACTTGTCATAATAGGTCACTAGAGACTTCCCTTTGAAAATTGTACCCTTCTTTGATTCTAGACTTCCTTATGTCCTTTTTGGGCCTTGCTGTGTGAATGCTTGCTACTACAAGCTCCCATGACTACAGAGCCACTCTGCTATGCTTCCTACAGTGTGATGGACTGAAATATTCATATATATGTAATATGCCTGGATATTATATGTGTGTATACATCCACATATATACATACATGCAGATATATGCATGTTATATAGACATACATGTATATGTGTATGTATGTGTATATATATATATTATATAATAGTATGATCCATAGAAACATTATAGGGTTTTTATTTTGCTTATTATTGAAGTGAAATCCCCATATACACGTAATATACCGGATTATATATATTTGTATATGTATATATACATATGCATGCACATGTATATGTGCGTGCATGCACGTGTGTGCGCGCGCACACACACACACACACACACACACACACACACACATATATATATATATATATATATATATATATATATATATATATATATTTCACAAAGTATGTTTTGGGAGTCTCTAGGACAACCCTGACCAAGATAGGAAATGCTCTTGAGATCCCAACCCTAGCCAAAGAACACACCAAATGATTATCAAATACCAAAGGATCAGCCTGAAAATATGTGTATAGAAGTAAACACACACATATTCACAACATCAATTGTTCTTTTAAAGAAAAGAAAGTCCACGAATTTGAAAGAGAGTGAAGGCAGAGGTACATAGCAAAGATTGGTGGGAAGAAAGAAGGAGGAAGTAATGTAATCATAATCCCAAAGAAAATGAAGAAGGCTTCTTTGGTATTTATTTCCACCAAAGTCTGCAATAGCAAATCTTTAACACATTAGTATTGTGACAGAGCCAGCACTAATTGGGAAGGACAGATGGCCTGCCCAAATAAGTGTTCCCACAGCTTTATTAATATTTTGCTCAAAGCAAATGTTATTACTGCTATTTTACTAATGCAAAATTAGAATCACAGAAAACCTACATAACTGACTTATTAACACCTAGAAAAACTTAAGCCAAGGTTTAAATCCAGGTCCCTGGCTCTGTGGACTGCACATTTGATTATTACATATTCCCATCAGAATCTCTCCTGCCCGTGTGAAGACAATGGTGTGATGAGAGACCCACTCCAGTTGTTTCCTTTTTCATGACACAGTTCTCTATTACACTTACCACTCTAGGGCAGTCACTCGAAACAGAAAAAGACAAAAAGAAGAAAGTTCCCACCAACTCATGCAATTGTTTTTCTTTTGCATTTTTTTACATGTGTGTGCGTGTGTGTGTGTGTGTGTGTGTGTGTGTGTGTGTGTGTATCAGTGTGTGTGAATGTAACTCCCTGTTGAGGCCAAAAAAAAGAGATGTCCAATACCCTGGAACTCGAGCTATGCACGGTTGTGAGCCACCTAATGTGGGTGCTGGGAACCAAGTTCAAGCCTCATGAAAAATCTATGGTGCTATCTCTCCAGTTCCATGCCTTTGTTTACTGATTATGGGATTTTCATTAGGAAAATTCTTTTTTAGGCATCTTTAGTGCAAAGACTATTCTGCAAGACCCAGATGAAATTATACTTCGGCTAAAGCTTTATACTGAGTTCATACATGAATGTGGTTATGTCTGTTTTAGTATGCAGTCCCACGACGGCTCCATGGATCCTACCATAGCTTACTATATATGCTCCTCTCCTTCATCTGAGTGGAGAAAGTTGTCCTGGCATTCAAGTGTTGCTAAGCCTAGATACAGTGCCTTAACAAATATTTGCTGGAGAGAATGAATTTACAGCACAGGTTATGTCTAAAATAAGGTCAGGAGCTGATGCTCAGCAATGGGAAAGCAGAACTCAGAGACGATGGTGGCTGGCAATGATTGGCTCAACTGTTCAGCATCACTTAGTTTTAGGGAGGAAGAGGTGAGAGATTAACTGAGTGTGACAGGTAAGAAATTGTCTACTGAGAGCAAAAATGCTACAGAAATCTGGTCACTGATAGTGGCCACAGTTTCCGTCTGAGGTTAAGAAACTCCATTTAGTCTCTTTTGGAAATCAACTTTCTTATTAATAAATCGAAAGTTGGCTACTTAATTGAAATATTGCTGTAAGAGTTAAGGCAATCTATGTATGTGGATGAAAATCTTACTGACATGAAAACACTAGGTTTGTGTAAGTACTAAATACTGAAAAGAAAAGTGTGGGTTCTTAATGCATGGGTGTACGACAATGTACAGAAATGTATGGATTAAATATTATTCATGTGCTTGAAAATCTTCCTTATAGTAGCTCCCTGTGTGAATTTGGCACACACAAATAAATTTGTTATTTATTTTTCTGAAGGGAACTGAGTTTCAGAAAGATAAAAAAATGAAGAATTTATGTAAAGCCATTAAGAAATATGCATTTACAGTGCATGTCAGTTCCAAAGCTAAATACTGAGCATCCTGGGAGGTACTAATGATAAAATATATAACATAATTATATAAGACACATAGACATATGTGCCTTCTGTCACATAGATAACAAAAGTATATCCATAATAGACACATGCAGAAATTTGAAGTGATATAGTTTTATCTCTAATATAAAAATACGTTGTTGACTTTTTCCTTTTAGTATAGCAACAATTTATCAGAGAAAATTGTCTGCAGATCCCAAGATAAGGCAGATGTAACCTTTCCTCTCTAAATTTGCATTAAATTCATGTTTTATCTTGAGGTCATCAGTACAAAATTCCAGAGTGACTGATCATGAATGTGAAAAATATAAGCATGGGTCTCTTTGCTCACAAATCTTGACATAAGACATGTTATATACACACCACTCTTCGGTTTTGCTGTTTCTTCAGGGTATTATGTTATCAACTCTTGCTATGAAATTCATCTGCAGGTAAATCTAAAATTAGGTGTCAAGCACAACACTGTATATTTAACAAAGATCATACTGTCTTAACATTAAAATAAAGTGTGTAGCCTGGACATTAAGAATTAATTTCTTTGACATTAGAATTAAAGACTGATTAATAGTACATAGTAAAAACATCTTAAAATTCTCATCACAAAAAGAAATATATATTGATTGACAAGTAAAAATGAATATTTAACAAAACTGACGGAATATATAAAATAATATAAATGTTTAAATCAAGTTTACCTCCTATTTTTGCACTTTACTTTGTTCTACTTTGTAGTAACATAAATACTGGATAAGCAACACACCTAGATATCATGAAAAAGGAACATGTACTATAGACTATCCAGGGAGACACTACTGTTTGCAATATTTTATAGCCTTTATTAAACAAATTATACTTCAGATTAAAATTTTTCTATAAAATTCTATGAGAGAAAATAACTTGGTACAGGTATATCCTTCTGTCTCAGGCTTGATTAATTTATAATCAGCAAAAGTAATGAGCATTTCAGTGGTAAAGGTTGGGATGATTAATTTGGCCACAAAGAGCTCACAAACTGCTACAAGGTAGCAGTAAATTTAGAAGCACAGCAATGACATCCTTGCCAATTTAGTTTAACTGGAGTCAGGTGAAAAACAGTCTTGAAAAAAGTGAAAAAGGTATTTGGTGGGGACCCAGGATAGAGACGATGATTCCACCATTCTTCATAGAAGCAGCAGCTCTTCAGGTATTCTAAGGTGGCTTTCATTTCTCAGTTGGACAGAGTAGCCACGTTTACCATTGGGAACTCATGATGATATAGAATGTGAATGAACGCAACTTCACTTCAAATATGTATGTAGTGTGTGTGTGTGTGTGTGTGTGTGTGTGTGTGTGTGTGTGATATTTTAAGGAAAACTAGAGCAGACAAGTAATGGTATGTCTGTGCTATGTTTTGCATTTATTTGTTTGTTTTTGTTGGGTGGATGTACTTGTGGGGGCAAGTGCAAACACAAGTAGAAGGGTGAGAATCAATTTTCAGAGGTGTTTTCTAACACTGTGGGTGCTGGGGAGGAAACTTGAGACTTCAGGCTTCATGGGAAGCAACCTTAATCATTGATCCACCTTGCTGGCTGGACTCGATCACATAAAAAGGTTGAGCTTGTAGAACAAACTCTAAAGTTTAGAGCAGAAACACTTATACAGGATCGACTTGGATGCTAGCTGAGCAGTTACAGCACTTACGATGCAAGCGGCAAGTGTGAGGACCAGAGTTCAAATCCAGAGAAGCCGTGTGAATGCTGTTCTGGGTGGGCCTTAAGCCTGGCTGCCTGTCATTCTTGTACTCAGAGGGTGGAGAATCTCCCAGGTAATCCAACCACATTATCCACGTCTATCAATTCTGAATTCAATTGAGAGGCTCTGCCTCGGTGATAACCTGCCAAAAGATGGAGGAAGACACCTGACTTTAATATCACGTCTCCATGCACAAGCATACATGTGTGAACATGCATAAACATAATCGCACACCCTTACATACACAAGAAAATGAACAACGAAAACCTCAAACGGGGTATGAAACATTTCAACATAAAAAAAAGGATCATTTTAATCAGAACATGAAGTTGGCTGCTTGTTCCCAAAACAGATGAATGGGATAAACCAAGCTGTTCTCTTATTGTATCTTCAAAGAGGTCCCTTAACAATAACATTGAGAAGTTAGAAAGTAAATATGCAAATTATGTCTAAATTGGATGGGTGGGTTGAGCTCATTTTCATACAAGTCTTTGAATTAAATAGAAACAGCAATGTTTGTTCTCCCAAAAACTATAAAAATAAAAGGTTTTGTCTGTTCTGTTCACTGAAAACGCCCGGGGTTCTGAAATCACCTGACTTACATTTGCCAAATCTCTTTCTGCAATAATGTTGGAACTATTGCTGAGTAGCTGAATATTTCAGGATTCCAAGTCTCAGCATTTGATTTCTTATTTTCATAAGCTAAATGAGTGTTATCCGAGGGCATTTACAAGTTTAGACAGTTTCTCCAAGACACGGACAAGAGCAGATATCATGTCACGTTCACCTCCCTCATCACATCTCAGGCTGACAGAGCTGCCGAAGGTGGAAACAGGGCACGGTCTCACTAGCTCTTTTCCTTTTGCCAGCATGGCTGTGGTAATTTCGTCCGTGTTATCCAGACATTCAACCGAACTCACCTTTACGTCTGCGGGAGTGGCGCTTTCAGCCCGGTGTGCACTTACCTAAACAGGGGAAGGAGATCCGAGGTAAGCCTGGCCGGCTCACTGTGTCCACTTGGGTGGTACTATCTGAAGCTTGACGGTATATCAGAGTTAAAAATGTGGGAATTCAATGACAGTAGAATATTATCATGTTTTTTACACACACATGAATATATTTCATTTCGATTTTGTCTGCCAAGGCAAGCTAAATTGCACTCTTTTGCTTTTCAAATTAAACGTATTTACTTGTTTCTGAATATACAGGTTGTAAAATCAAGGAAAATGATAAATTTATAATTGTATTAAATGTAAAGCACTAAAGTACAGAAATACTGGGCTTACACTTGCTTTCATAAATATATATACACGTATATATTCATTCTTACATTTTAATTTCAGTACACGCTATGTGTATGTACTTTAAGAGGTGTTTAAAGTAGGATATGAAATGTCTTGTTGAAAAAAGCTTTGTAAGTTGACAAATCATGCTTTCATTTAAAACTGACATTACCTTGTGCTAGTTCATTCTCACCTTACTCTTTTACTGCTCACGGTGATATGAGTTGCTACAGTCTGCTGTTTGCTAAATACTAGTCAGACAGTCAACTCGTATACTGTCAGCTGCAAGGCCATCCGGGGATCTGTGGAATCAAAGGCTGCCCTGTTATCCCAGGACAGTGGCTGAGACTAGCGCTGTGCAGAAATATGGAACCACCCCCATATTCCATTCCTTCAATCAGCTGCATTATTTCACTTAAAACAGTATTTTAGAAGCTAAATTATTGAAAACTACATTTAGTTCATTATTTAACTTAAACTTAGAAAGTCCTGTTCTTAAGTCATGTCTTAACTGACTGTTAAAGATAAGAATTATGGGAAAACCCATCAATATCACTATTAATATTCTTTGTAAACTTTTCTTCAGTAAAAGCCAATGTGCTTTGCTTTTAATGTAGTTGAACAAAGATTTTGCTGTACTCCATTTTATTGAATTACATTTTATACATATACTTTATAGATACACATATATAATTAAATGAATATAGTCACTGAAGACTAACTGAATAATTATCATTGGATCTCAGATATTTTTTTTCTAAATGGGGCTCCAAATTCTACTGAAATATTCACAATCTTAAAGGGAACGTCAGACATTTTGTCAGATGTACCGAGCTGAGCATTAGGGCCACATGCATGCGATCAATGTCAATTCTGTTAGTTGGTAAGCACATGTGGTCTTTCCATTTCTAGTGTCTTTGTCAAATTCTCTCTTCAGTGTCTTAGACTTCACTGTAGAGGTTGTTCACCTCCACGGTTAAGCTTAATCCCTAGATGTTTTAAGCATTGTGAATAAAATATTTCTCCTAATTTCTTTCTGGAAAGTTTGCTATTGGTATCTGGAGAAATACTGGTGCAGCCCTGATGAACATGGACTTCATCCTCACGGTTGATGGGAGCATAAACTCACAAGGTCACTTAGAGAGGTCAGCATGGAGGTTTCTCTAGAAGACTAAAAGCAGAGCTACCTATGACCCAGCTTTCCCACTTCTGGATAGATACTCAGAGGACTCTATCTTGGTTTCTTTGCTGTTGCTGTGAAAAAATACTTTGCCCAAAACAAGATAATGGAGAACAGGTTTAGTTAGCTCTAGGCCATTGTGATAGGGAAATCATCCCAGCAGCACCTTGAAACAGCTAGTCATATTAAGTTTAAAATCAAAGGGTGAAAGATAAATACTGCATGTTTAACTCACAAGCAGATCATAGAATTTAAATGTTATATGTGTAGGGGCAGTGGGTCTTTAAAATGAAAATAGATTATGGCACGGGAAAGAGACATGGATGGTACCAGAATACCCGAGGAAAGAAATCTGTAGGGGAAGAGTACCCCATGGCAGAGGGGTGTGGGAACAGGTGAATGGAGCTAGAGGAGGATTAACAAAGTATGTACAGAAATTCCATATTAAAACCAATTCAAAACTTAAGAAAATTGAAAGTATTAAAGTTTATATTGTAATTCAAAAGGAAAAGGGAAGAAGAAAGACTTAATGATCTGGGAGGAATAGGGCTGAGTTCGTAGGAAGTTAGATGAACAGCCTTATTTCCGCTTGAAATAAATGATTAATATTTCACCACATTTCCCAATGTTGACTTTAACTAGATTGTAATTAAGATCACACAGAGAAGAGGGGACTGAGTAACGGAGAAATGGGCCGTCAGAGAACACCTGGTACCTGTTTCATCAATTACTTCAGTGCCAACACTGGCTTATCTGGGGAAATCTGTTTCTGCCTCTAGGATCTCAACCAAGATTATTAATTTTTCTTATTTTCTTTAGTCTGTGTAATTATTTTCTTTGGAGAGCAGATGTGCTGGTGTCAGGGGGCTGAATCTGGATTGTTTTGAACTCCACTTAGCTATGATTGCCTATGATTGATTTATGGACTCCTCTTCTTTAACCATTGTTATCACAGATACATATAAATTTATATGTATATATATATATATATATATATATATATATATATATATATACATAGACACAAGTTGCTGGGTCCCTTCAGTGTTGCATTGTGTATGGGCTTCTAGGGCAAAAGCACAGTCCATTTTCTTGATTCAAGCACCTTATTTTCTATTTTCTTTCCCAAATCACCCTAAAGAAGAAGTATAATCAGTCATTTCTTAAGCAATGTTCTGGTCATTTTTATCTCTGCGTTCAAAAAATATTATGAGACTATATTTATTCAGGATGGTTTTCAAAAACCTAACTTGATAATTACAGTTCTCCATCATCTGATGTAATCCACAAAGTGTCCATTTTTTTGCCCCTCTGTTTCAGTAATAGTTTGTACTAAGTTGATAGATGGAAAATGTCAGCATCTTTATTTATAAAATCTCTCTCTCTGGGCTGCTTACTGTGCACCACTTAAATCAGTGCAACTGAATTTACTGCCTGATAATCTTGTCGGTCCTATTCTCTCTCTCTGCACACTTCTTCTGCTAAGCATTGAACAGAATCTTACATAACTGAGGTTTGTATTTTGTTCTCTTGAGTTTCCATCTTTCTCATTAGGAATCTAAGTTACTCAATGCCCAAGACTTCTGTAATCTTGCTTACTGTATGTGTTTGGTTAATCTTCACGGACATAACAGATAATTGTTTTTTTAAACAAAACAGATAATTGAATAGATTATATTTTAATATACATTATCGTTTTAAATCATGTACAATGTGTTACACAAGAATTAAGTAGTAACATGGAATTTTAGTTCTTAAAAGTCTCATTTTAGAAACGTTGTAATCATTGCATACATTATTCCATGGTTGTTACTTTTCTTCCTTTGTATAAGGTTCTACAAATACATCTATTATACTTATAATGATTTTAGATTTCCAAGTGACTTTTGATGTTATTGATCTAAGAAGAACTTATGCTTTTATGTAACTCATGTGCATGGTTTACAGCTCTTGGGGCTTTAAAATGGGATGAGAGTTAGTCCTGCTAACTCTAAGTTAGGTTAGAGCCTAATTTACAGACGGATTCTTCTGACAGGACAACTGAGTCTAAATATACAAATTGGAGACACAGGAGTAGGAAGTATTTATAAAAATATCTTGATTTATTAAATAATGCTTGTTTATCTAAACTAGTTATAATTCTATTTCATTGTACTTATGATACTGTATCATTATCATCTGATACCCTTTTCTATTACAAAGGACCAAGTTTTCATGATTGACTCTAAGTGTGAATCTGGAAAAGGACGATGTTCCTTCAACCCCAATGTGAACACTGTTTCTGTAATGATCAGTAAGTAGAAAGAGAAAGAGGGAGGGTGGACTAAATAATAGAGAACTCCCACAGCTTATAAATTAGTTAATGTAATTACAAACTTTAAAGATGACTATGAGAAGATCATGAATCTATACAAGTGTGTGTTTACTTGCCTTTCCAGAGGGTTATAACCCTAAAATTACCTCTCTTAGCTTGTGTGGGTCACTGTGTTGTAAGGGTTTGCCATTTCTATTTGATCGCTAAAGTATACAGATTTTCAAGATACTTCTTTCCATTAAATTCCAAGGAGCATTATGAATTAGAAAAATTCAGCATTTTACAACACAGTTGCTGTATCTAATCTACTGACAATTCCAATGGTCATTTGTTATTTAGAACACTTAATGTAGTACTACGAAGAAGGCTGGTATTATCCTTTAAAGAACTTCTCACAGAATTCCTGAAGTTTTGTGAGTGAGTGGTAAACAATTAGACAGCAAAGTATTTTTTGAGTAAAGTTAAAAGGCACAAGTTTATATTTGCATAAAACTCTACATAGAAATCCTGAAAACTTTTTTCTCTTGAAATTCTTCCCAAAGTGTTATTATTTGAGAATTCATTGTTACACAGTGAAGCAGGGATTTCCTTACCTGCTGTTAGAAGCACTGAGAATATGGAGCAAGAAATGAAATCAGTTTGACATGCAGGTTCTCGTAAGGTTTAAGCTATAATTGATTGTGCAGTTTGCAATAATAGAAAGCTCTAAGCCAACCTGAGTATCTTACCTGCTGCCCCCTCATATTGTAAGTATATACAGTTGAAAGCTGTACTCATTAGTGATAGTGAGCAATGGGGATTTGCAATCTATGGTTTTATGACTAATGAACTACAGCAACATGGAAAATAATTATGTCTTATATTGATTGAATAGTCAAATTGATGGATGTATACACATAATAGATATTCAAACAAATATTTAAATAGCTGGACTGTTTAAAAATGACTCATTCTTATTTTTGCTATCACCCTATAAAATGTTGCCATGGGCTTTGTATCCGTTCTGGGAAGGAGAAATTGGGGACAAGATGCCTATCATACCAACTCCTTAACTGGTAGGGGTCTAGTCAATACCTGATGAGCTCATTCTAGAAACGTTTCTGAAGTCACAGGGTGATTGGTAATGAAAAGTCCCCAGACTATCTTACAAAAGATACAGCTTTAATAAAACAGAAGGAAAAGCTTACACAGAGTCCTACCCGTCTGGAACGCTGGAACCAGGCCAGGTCGAGAGGGAGAGAGAGAGAGAGGGCAGGGGCTTTCACCAGCCAGGTTTATAGGTAAACTTTTGCCTTAGGGCAACACGCCCCACAAACAGAATGTGATTGGCTAAACTCCCCTATCACGTTTCATTCTGAAGTCTGCCCTATGCAGCAGATATTTTTATAAATGTACATAGATTTAATGGGAGCAGATAATACATATAAGTTAAATAGCTAAACAGGTCACTTATGACAAATTGGACAGCTTGTTTAGTTTTAGACATAGTTTTTTTTCCCCCTATCACTACTTTTGACAGCACAATTACTGGTGAAAATGTGGGCTGTGTTTACGTTATTATAAACCTTGTAGACTATAATATTAATGTAGTTTCTATATGTTCAAGAAATAAATATGGTAAATATTATGTCCATTCTATTAAGTAAAATATCAGATGTTTAATATGCAATGAGTACTTTCAGGACCATATCTTATAACTCATTTCTTATGCTTTATAAAAAAATGTGAAGATTCAGTATGTTGAATGACATCATCCTAAATTCAAGTGTTTTGCTTGCTTGCCAAATTTGAAAACAGAGACTGCTTGTTCTTTCCTAGCTGCTGAGACTTGAAAAATCACACAGAAACTGTATTAATTGCAAGACTCTTTGGCCTATTAGTTCAAGTTTCTTGTTAACTAATTCTTACATCTTAAATTCACCCATGTCTATTAATCTGTGTATTGCCACAAGGCTGTGGCCTACTGGTAAACTTCCAGTGTGTCTATCTCCTTCAGCAGCTACATGGAGTCCTTGACTCCGCCTACTCTCTTTCTATATCTGTATTCAGATTTACCTCCTGGCTTTACTCTGCAAAGCCATTGTCAAAAAAGCTTTATTCATTATCCAATAAAAGCAACACATATACAGAAGAATATCCCACATCAAAATTTAGAACAAGCAGTTCTTGGATTTGGTTTTATAACTACAAAGTTATCACAATAAAAGCCTATTAAAATTAGACCTTTGTAAATTTGGTGGGCAACAGAAACTAACTCATAACTAACTAATTCATAACTGCAAACTTTTTCCAACAATTGGGATAATGTATTAAGTTAAACCTCCTTGAGCTTTAAAATAAGTTCAAAAGGCGTCGGATTATCTCTGACAATGGTTTCTTTTTCATAGACGAGGAGCTGTTCTCGGGAATGTACATAGATTTCATGGGAACAGACGCTGCTATTTTTCGAAGTTTAACCAAGAGGAATGCAGTCCGAACGGATCAGCACAATTCAAAATGGTTGAGTGGTAAGACACATTCACTGATATTCCCCTTTGATATCTTGTCTTCAGCTAACATTTAATCCTATACTGATAATAAGGAAAGTAGTTAAAAGCTAAAGTATCGAGCTTTGACATAAGTCGTCATAATTGTATATTCTATGTGCCAAATACTTAAGACAATAAATAGCTATCATTTTTATTCCAATTGTTTGATTTATTAATGATGGTATAATTGTCATAGAACTAGGTAAATACAAATGTCACTGTACCCATCACGAGTACCTCCATTTGTTAGATGGTAATAAATTTCAGTTAAATATGGTTTTAGTTCTTGTAATCACTTTTATATTTCCTTAATTCTAAATTGAAGATTTCTACCAAATTCACAACTTTATATATTGCTAATGGATCACACATAGAAACTCTTTGTGTTTGCTTATACTAATAGGCTAAAATTACAGAATGTGACATATTACTGTTTCAAAACGTGACTATTTTTAAATTATGATGATATGATTACTTAATGATAATCCCTGTTTAGTGCTTTCAGACTCTCAAGGTGATTAGGAATCCACACCCTGAAAGGAGGCTAAGCTAATTTTACTGTGTGGTTCCAGTTTGTTCCTATCATGTAGAGGAGGACGAAGTCACTGAGCGCCTGCCATTCCAGCCGCAGGAAACTTGCAAGCTCACTCTAAATTGCCTGTTTAGTTAATGATGCAGTTTAGCATGAATCCCCACAATTAAGCGTTGTGTCTCGCTGATTGGTCAGCGATGAAAGCACTGATTGTCTTGCTTCTTCCAGTTATTCCCCCAGTACTTCTGAAAATAGAATATCCTAAAACGTTGTTTTGTTCCTGAAATAAGGAAACCCTCTGTGTCTACACTGACTACATTTTTTCTTTGAAACATTTCCTCTTCATTTCATTTTTTCATTTGCTGTATTTTAAGGAAAAGCAGAGTCAAATTCTTGATACTGCATCATTTTCTTCTTCTTCTTCTTCTTCTTCTTCTTCTTCTTCTTCTTCTTCTTCTTCTTCTTCTTCTTCTTCTTCTTCTTCTTCTTCTTCTTCTTCGTCTCCTCCTCC